GAAGATAACTATGATCCAAAATCAACTTGAAAATGAAATGTTCAGGCTGTATTTGGTTGCAGCTATTACAGATTATCTAACAACCTGTAACTGCACTCCAATGGTAAGCAGCCGCCCCCTAAGGTGACCCTGCAGCACTTTCATTTGTTTAAGGTTGGAAACCATACTGGAAAATAAGCTGATTGGCTCTAAACCTCTTAAAAGCCAATCAAAACCCTCTATAATCCCTCATATCCTCTTGTACTCTGTTAGGCTTATCGCTTAGGGTCAAATGTAAATGATCAGACATCCGTCAAAATGTCAACCTTGGTGTGTTTGATCAGGTTGTATTCATTTACATAAACTGTCAGATGTCAATGGTTTATCTTGTAATTGGACGGCCTGTGGACCAGCTCCAGGGCAGCAAACCAACTGAAAATGATTTGCATAATGAACACTAGAAAGTCTGTTCTCGCAGGGCTTTCCTAGTCTAAATATGCTGGTATATTTACCACTACACATGACGGGCTGCGCTGTTTCCTGATGCTATTTGTGGCTAGTTTTAAATTGCCTGTAGTCTTTCTCTAATTTATGTTGTAGGAGAAGTCTAATTAACAGTTAATGAGAAAACATTCAACTTCTAAGAAGCCTCGGTCTGAAATAACTTAAGAAATATGTACAAAAGAACTGTTTGAACTTTTTTTCTAAACCGTAAACTTCTCTCAGAAAAGTCACTTTACACAAACCAGGGCGAGGGAGGGCAGAGACTGACCTGTAGGATGCAGGCATACATATTTCTTTCGGGACAGCAAAAAACATTCAGATACCGTCAGCCAGGTGATCAAAGTCTAAATGTAGCCTTAAAAGAAGAACCTCTTTTTCTTTAAACGCCACACAATGAAAACAATTGTTGATGAGCGATGAGCTAAATTATAAGCTAGGGGCTTCTCAAACAGATAAAAGGAAACAACAGAGTACACAATGTACAGTTTTGTAACAGTTGTCTACATAAGCAAATAATTGATAGAAAATCAACTGTATGTGTTGATTTAAGCAAAATCAACCACGTTCTGTAACATCAAACTAAGGAAAAACCTGGACTGTTTTCGGAGGAAGTGAGAGTTCACACAGTTCATCAGCAAAAGAACTGAATGGAATTTGAGTCGTCAGTAACTGGCCCAATGGATTGCTATACAATGTGGTGAGAACTGAATGAAACTCAAGCTATAATCTAGGTAAACTAGTCACTTGATGTGATGAGATTTGTATAAAACAAACAAAAAAACAAACAAACAAGCGAACAATCTGGGTCCATTGTCTCCTGATATAAACAGGTTCATTATATAAATGCTCCAGACTGCAACCAGTGATGAGCTGCTTTGTAAAACACAGGAAATACTGTGATCAAGGATCTGTTCCACATGATGCATCTGTGCATGTGCGTGCCTGTGTGTGTGTGTGTGCGTGTGTGTGTGTGTGTGTGTGTGTGTGTGTATGGAGAGGGAGTACAGAGAGACATAAAAATTAAAAAGAAGTTCATTTGTGGAAATGTTGTAGTAGTCTATATTCTCTTTGGATGTTTATAACACTGTGTGTGAATGCATGTTACTTACAAACTTTTTACACACATCGGTCCATAAATATTACCAGACTTTCCTGTGCATTTGGTTGACATATATAGATTTCTTTTGGTGTCGTGTCGCTTTTTAATTTTCAATGCTCTCCTCGTTTCCTTTTGTTTTTTAAAATATGTGATCACCTATCATAGAAATGAATGCAATTTAAAGAGTAAACACAAAGCAGACAAGCCACCTCATCACGTCTTGTAAAAAGTTACCCATATGCACTCTTCTTACAGTAAAATTTAAATACACTGTACTTAAACAACACACCGGCTAGTGACTAAAATGGTTTGACAGCAGAAAACTATTAAGCCGTCTAAACCTTCAACAGGAAATGTCAGCTTTCATGATGAGTTCCTCTTAACCATCACAGTAGAGACAGTTGGTGGGACCTTTTTTTTTTTTTTTACACCACATGCTTAGTCAATAGACCTAAATGGAAACCAGCCCCAACACATGTTTTTTAATTGATGTCAGGGCCCACACTTTGACTACAAAAACAACCTCTTTTTCCCTTACACTGATCAATTTACACTGATTAATGTGCAGCGTACAGATGGATGCAACACATTCATGTTTTTCTGCCAATAGTACATAATTTTAGTGATGAACTTTTCCACGGCCCTGAAATTTCAGACCTGTCAAGTTTATAGTATCAGAACAGAACAGTCTTGCTGAGGGAACATGCAGACCTGCTAAGTCCATGCTGCTGTGTTTGCCAGTTAATGAGTGCTTTTGTTCAGGGATGGATTATATTTCGTTTGTTAAGTTGACCTTAGCTGAATGTCACCGGGCATCTCCTGTCCAATACTGACTGTGCACATGCTGACCCTGCAGCAACACACACCAGATCAATACAACCTCTGCTAGCGATGTGACTATGCAGGGTGTACATGTGCAACAGAGATCTTCTATTAAAAAAAAGGCAAATGGATGACCTCAGAAGGACAGTGTAAAGACATATGTTCTCCAAATTTAGGACATGATGGCTTCAGCTTTTAGTCACGTTAACAGGCCCTCACTAACAAATTGTGCCAGCATTCACTTATAAGATGAACTGGCGCATCAAACAGACTTTCCTTCTTAGCAAGTAAAGTGTGTGGCTTAACCTTCATAGCACATCAGCAGAAAAAGGTCACTACTACCAGACTACAGATGCAATTAACCACTCACAAAGTGAAAGAGGTAGTGAGATATCTAACATGTGACATGGCTACATCATGGGAAGAAAAGCAACACTGCTGCACCCTTTAGCGTAACACAAAATGTAAAGGTGTGCCTTTTATTTCCTGAACCTGCCCTAGTCCAATATAAAGCCTTTATTTATGATAAGAAAACCATAAAACACAAACGAGCAGGTTAGTGCGCACTGATTCAGTTCATTAAAGTAATAAGACAATAAACTCTTGTCCAACAATATGCCAAGATATACAGTAGACCTACTGGTAAAATGCATAGGTCTGCATATTGTTTTGACAGTCAACAGCTTGTTTGGAAATGCTTTTTTTAACCACAGACTGTAGAATTCCCCATCAAAAGACAGAAATGGATCTGAAGGTCAATAAAACATCATTCATTGAGTCTACTCAATGAATGATGTTTTATTGACCTTCAGGCTACATGGTTGACGTTACCGAAGTTCACCCCATGAGAAAGAATAACTAAACATCACCATATAAACGCCCTCTCACCCGGAAGTAGGGGGCAGTTAAGATTTCAACTGATTATTTAGAAATATATTACTCAGAAGGCCAAACAGATACACCCTATAGTTATTTGGCATGAGGGGGCGTTTGAAGGCATTTCAGATAGCACAAGACACACTACTAAGACTGAACTCTATTTAGTTATAACACCATGGCCTTAATGATTGCACTGTCTAGTCTTTCCCATGTATGAGCATTATAGCTACATTTCGACAGAACTCGACAGGAGCAATGTTTCAGTGCCTTCTCCTTGTCTCTGCCCCCTCCATAGGACCGGGGGGGGGGAGGGGACAGACTGTCAGAGAGCCCATATCCACTGGCTTCTTAATGGCGAGAACGGTCAGTAAGCATGAATGGGGACGCGCTGAAGGTTAGAGGCCTTTTATGAATGAGTCGGCGTCACGCCACGGCAGCGCGAACATCCCCCACGGTGCCCTTCGCCCTTACACCCCCCACCAACAGAGACCTGCAAGGCAGACATACCAACCGAGTACAGCCCCGTGTGGGCTAGTCTGGGACAGAGACGACAGGCTTTATCGATACAGCCTTGTAGCTGCGTAAACCTGCACTGCGAGCCAGCAATTGAAATGGCTATATGGCATGGCTGCACATTTCCATTTAAGACTTAAAAAAGAGATTGGCTTTGACAAAAGGCCCCTCTGCATACCTAACGTTGAATAATTATAAAGCCTGTGTGGTCTATTCGTGTTGGGTTACACAATATCATTCGTGCTCTGCCACCTGCTCGATGTTATTCACATTTAGCTACAGTTTCTTCTCGGTAGACTTTAGCTAATTATAAGCTTCAAGCGCTTCCATATAGGCCTATGGGTGCCGTAAAACAGGTCGGTGGGCCTACACATTGTACTGCTCTATATTAGCTACATTTCGCAAGACGCTAGCCGACAGCACAGTGCACGGATATGTCTGTCACACAAGGGCACAGAGACGCGAGTGTAAAGGGGGACGAGTTAAATAGAAACAGACGCGTAGTTCTTTCAGAGCTAGTCGTCGTTTACAATCAGTATTTTTTTTTTTTTTTATGAATGGAGCGCGGTAGGCTATGCAAATGAGGGCGATTGAGAAAGAGATGGCGGATGAGGCATATCGGATATCTCATATCCTGTGAGACTTCCCCCTTCTGTTGGAAGCAAATATACAGATGTGGCCAAATAACGAAGCCAAAGTGTCTCTGTGAACGCCGTTGGGTTTTTCCTCTTCTTTTTTGCGCAGAACAATGCACAAACAAGAGGTGCGTGAGCTCGCTGCTGTTTGTGTGTTTATAAAAGGTGTAACTTCGGGGCGTGTTTGAGTTTCTAAGTTACGCTGCAACAGGGCCTGCTCTCTCGCTTCAGATCCTTTCAGAAAATGTTTCCGATCCACCCACGCTTATTCCCCCTCCTCCTACCCTCTGCTTTCTCTCTCCTTCTCAAGACTAATCCAATACAAAGTGGGGGCCCTAGAAACCCTGTTCTACACTACTGTCAATGCATTGCTTCACAGTTGCACCAAGCACAAAACCAAACAGAGTTCATGATATTAAATAAAAAGCAAAACATACATTTTCAAGAAGCTTTGTGAGGGGAGTTTTGGGGCTGCACATTCCACCAAGTTGCCCTAACCCATCTACAACCTGTAGGCACTGAAAATGACGAACGAAAGACAGAGAGAGAGAAATCTTAAAGCCACTTACTCGTTTGGGTGTGTTTCTTCTATCATTTTCTCGTTTCACCTCAGGTAATGTACCACGGCGATTGCATACTTTTCGCTCGTCATTCTTTCACCGCGGCTCCTCCGATTCTGTCTCAAATTCCGCATAAATCCCCCCTGCGCCTTTGTGCGATTGTCGGCTCTTTGGCTTGCCTTCGACTGGCTTTGCCTCCGTCTTCTTTTCCTCGCGTTTGCCTCTTTTCTCCTTGGAGGCACCCAATATATTCTGGATCGCAAATATCCTCTTTCCTACAACTTTAAAAACCCCATCGCCTTCAGTAGGTAACGTAACCTAAACAGAGCGTTTAGCAGCCGATTCCAGCTCTTCTTTTCGCCTCCCCTCTCCCCAAACACACTCACGCACGCAAACACACGGACACACCAGGAACACACTCCGTTTTTAAGTCCTAAGGCGCATGTTTTGACCGACGACTCCGGTTCCAGTTGTGCGTAAAAGCGCGTCGTCGCTGTTGTTACCGAGGGGTGGCCCCGCTAGAGCCCCATCACTCTCTACTCCATGTTGGATTGCAGGCAGCCAAGCTGCTTCAACGACGCCGGGGGAGGGAGGAGGGAGAGGGGGAAGGAGGAGGGGGTGGTGGGGGTGGGGGTGCGGGGCGGAAGCGGTGACGTCGGTCTGCATTTTGGTGGAGGGTCCACGATGGTTGCAAGCCTTTAGGGGCCCTTGATAAACGACCCCCTCCCATTCTTTCCCCTCTCCGGATCCTTGATTTCAAATCCGGACATGTCACCTTTGTTCCCAAATGGAAATCACTTAACTTCCTGTTGGTATGTTATAGATATTGCATTGAAAATAAAAAAAATATCCCAGTCGTATGATAACATTACATTTGTGCGTAATTCAGATTCAAATTCAGACTTTGGGTTTACATCTTAAAAAATGCAATTGTAGCCCATATTCGAAATTTGGCTATCTGAACTATTTTGCATTGATTGACTACTTTAGATTTAAGGGTTATTTGTTGAATAACAAAAGGCAGAAAAAGAACAAAACATGTAACTGAAAATGTGTGTCTGATGAAACGAAACAGATCAAAGGGCTTTCCTGGATAATCCTGTTAATTTTTTACTAATCTATCTCCGGTAATCCATGTCAGATGTGACTGTAATCTCGTATTATTTGTTAGGGGGACTTTTCCGCAGATTGAGCACTTTGACACCTATTGATCCTCTAAAGTGCGGGAAAGTTCGATGATTAAACCACTTTTGTTTTCGTTGAGTGCTGCCAGATTTATGTTCCTGCCTTCAACAGTTGCCAGCATTGTTTTCAGGTTCATGCCTGGGCGAAAAAGAAACACATGGTTGAGACTATGGTGGTGTAGCGCCCTCTTCTGGCGATTTGTAAACGCTACATTTTCTGAGAGAAGGTTTTGACCAGTGGATTGTTAGAATAAAGACAGCAACAAAACAGGCGTTATTTAATGATTATATACGTCAGTTATCGTAAACACACTACCACAACTTTTTTTCTATGAATAGAACTAAGTTTAGAAAAAGAGGCTTAGCACATGGTGATTGTAGTCTTTCAATCAAGGAGCAACTGAGCGAATCACATGCTCAAAACGCCCAACTTCATTTAATTTTCACATCTCTGTTTTTTGAGAAAAGAAAAACCTTGATTTTGTATTCTTTTACACAGCACACTTTACTTAGAACTACACCACCAGTGCCGTACTACCCTTCGAGAACATTACGGTCCCAGAATGCGGGCCTGCTAGTGGTACTTACAGTCTCTAAATGCACTATGGGAGGTAAAGCCTTCAGTTATCGGGCTCCTCTCCTCTGGAATCGTCTTCCAGCCAAGGTCCGGGAGGCAGACACAGTCTGTATTTTTAGGAATAGACTTAAAACTTTCCTTTTTGATCAATCTTATAGTTAGTGCTGGCGCTGGTGTAGACTGCAGCTCCTAATTATGCTGCTATAGGCTTAGACTACCGGGGAACTGGCACCTTGAGCTCTCTCTCTCTCTCTCTCTCTCTCTCTCTCTCTCTCTCTCTCTCTGTGCATATACAGTACATCATATTACTGCATGTATCTATCTGTAAATCTCAGTCACTAACCACCTATTTTCCTGGGAGCTCCTGAGCTCTCTTAGGCTCCACGGGATCGTTGATGGACGGCTTGCCTGAACAATCCCCCACCCCCTTGCTCCCCATCCCTGTTCCTGCATTTTATCCCATCTCTCCCCCTATCCCATTCCAAGCCCGGCGCAGTCTAGTTTTTATGCATACAAATCAGTTTATTATTCTATTGTTTAAAAAACTGTTTCACTTAATGAACTCCACCTGTTTTTCATGTGAATCAATGTCTTTCCCCTATTTTAATTAGTTTGAGTATCTTTTGTAGGAAAATAATTGCATGTAATATTTGTGTTTACAGTCCACTGAAATTACACCGGAAGTTGTACCTTTTTAAAGACAGCTTACTCCTATTGCCAAACCACAACACTCTTTATCAGCCCTTTTTTTTCTACAGAAGATAATTCAGTGAGTTCAATCCCTTAAAGCAGCTGTCCATTTGACCCACAGTTGCTTATTTAGCAGAAGACCATATCAATTGAATTGTTTTTTCACAAACTTAGGAGAATACCGAGCGCTGTCTGAGGACCTGGGTGCTGGTGTAGAAAGATCTGTGTATTGGAGTTGTTATTGAGCAACATCAGGTGCTCCACAAAATTCTTATGAAAGATAATTTCTTAAAACGTGACCCTGTATCTGAATCTAAAACTGCAGAAGTTGTTGAACATCTAATTTGTGATCGCTTGAGATGGACACTTTTTGTTACAATAGTGTTTAAGTTTAAGCACAATAAGGGCTCACACACAATAGGCCCAGTTGCCCCGTAAGATACAACTTGTTACATTCACATGGTAAATGTAAAGAATGTAAAGTTGCTGTATTTACCAACAACGCAAGAAAACAAATCAATTACATAAAACAAACAAACAAACACAAAGCAATACATTGTTTTTATGGAAAGCAAGCTCATGTCCAAAAATGTTCTTCATATTTGCAATAATTATAAGGCCAACAGAAATACTTTAGTGACAAGTAAGACTACTTTTGAAATGATCTTCTCCATTGTAAGGCTCACCTCTTCCCACAACATTCATTTTACATTGCCAAATGCAATGAGACAATGTTCCTTTAGTCTCAGTACATTTAGTGCAGAGGTCTGATATGTTGTTGTTATATTTACATCCACTGGTGTCACATAGGTCTACATTAACCATTTACTGTAGTTTCAGATGTGTATCTGTAGACATAGTATGAGTATGAGCTTCTTTCTGTTCTCCAACAGATATTTCAGATTGCAACGTTTCCTTCCAGGCATTTCGGCTCATACTCTGAGTATTCAGGTGATTTAGAACAGTGGTTCGAGGCCTCAGGACCCACCAACTACTCCTTCATGAAAAATCCTGACCCAATTTTTTAGATTTCACAATCAATCAGATTGATTAAATAAAAAATGGTGCAGTTTGGACCTCAGACAGTACAAAGTGTTATAGAACAAATCTATATTTTTTTCTCTTCTTTCTCTTCTTCCTCTTCTTCTCTCCTTTTTCTTTTAATTTAATGTAATTCTTCTTAGTTATATTTATCTATTTTTTCAAACCCTCCTTTTCCCTCCTCTTAGTTTAAAAAAATTAAATAAATAAAATATATATATATATATAACCAATTTGTTCATTTTTCCTTCCTTAGCTGTTAAATATCGGCGAGAAGGGGAAAATCCTTGATGGAGGGAAAAATTCATGAATTTATGGAATACAGATCCAAGCTATCTGAGTTTGATTTCAATATACGTTTAACAACTGTAATACATGTTCTGTATCGTAAGTCTTATTTTTACTTCATTTATGTTATTTTCTTTAGTATTTCCACGTATCACTGGGGGACACAACCTTTTCACACCACACCACTTATGAAAATGTAAAATATTGTCATCTTTGTCTTGAATATAAAATATGTGTACTGTATGTTAAGACATGATGACAATAAAAATGTCTTTTAAAAAAAGAACAAAGAAACGGAATGAACAAAAAAAGTGCTTAGACTACTACCACTGATTTAGAAGTCCACATGTTATATATTTCTGACATGATACCTTTCCTCAGACTGTCCTTTAACGTCACCTTACTAAAGGTGGTAGTGTGGGTCTCTTAAGTGCAGTACTTTGTTTTACAAAATTTCTCAATTTGATATGCTTGAAGAAATGCTTTCTACTGTTGTTGTAATCAGACATCAGCTTCTCAAAAGACATCATTGTGTCTGAGTCTGTGGTCTTAAATAATTTGAACTCCTTCAGATTCCCATTATTTAAATGTTGCATCTGCTCTTGCTGCTAGAATGGACTGGTTACCCCATATTGGACTATTAAGAAGGACAGACATTTGATACTAACCAAATACCATCTTTAAACACCATATTGGGATCTCTTCTGCCACCATGTGGTTTAGATGTGAAAATTCCGACTTTGGTCAGTGATAACTACTGAACCATTTAAATAAAATTTTCTCAATGTGGTATACGCTGATTAGTCTTCTTCAAAGAAACTCAACATATTGCATGGATGACTTTGTCTGAAGTATGTAAAAAAAAAAAAAACAGTTAAAAAAATCTCCAGTCCCTGTAAACGCTAAAACTAATTCTTAAATTCTCATTCTGAAAATGTATGAGATTCAAAATAAAGGTATTGTATGAGCTAAAAACAAAAAAACAAAAGAATGTTTTTTTTATTATCAAGGAGCATCTCAAGTGTAGTTTTCTGTTTGCAGACTTTTTTTTGTCACCATTAAAAGTACAGCTGAGTGTGTATTTATTTATTTAACTTATGTCTGGTTTCTGTCAGCGTATGTTGTTTTTGTATCATTACACTGTTCTAATATTTGCTTTTAATTCTGTATGTACTTCATGCAGCTGAAATTTCCCCTTAGGATATTGAAAGGTCATTCATCCCTTGTGTATATAAACAGTTAATGAGTCCACACACACCTGCACACACACACACACACACACACACACACACACACACACACACACACGCCAGCTCTTCCAATTCATTAGAGGCCTCCTGGTAGAGGTGGCCAAATGTATTATTTATCATAATCCCAATTTCTGTGTGACAAATATCACCGCAGCTAAATTGGCTGTTACTGTAACTGTTAAATTTACCGCCACTTTTTTGAATTTGCGGTTTAAGCCTCTGAGATGTTCTTACTGTAAATATAACACAGATAGACATTTCTACCGGTATTTTACACAAAAATGTGACACAGAACCTGGAAAATGCAATTTGACATACACTGGAAACAGACTTTTTAATCAAGCAGAGGACTTATGTATTGTACCACAGTCAGTCACTCATATCATTAGCCCTCCTCTTAAGTAAGAAGAAACTTAAATACAATGATGAAAAGGTCCATTAACTGTCATATTTATACTCCAGAGAGAACATATTTCTTCTTGTTATAAGGCCAGTTACTCTTATTGGCTAGAGTAGGCGATTATAAAAAAGTTATTTGGAATGGATTAG